GGGGGGGGGCATCTGTCCTTTTTCTGTCCTTTTTCTGTCCTGTTTCTGTCCTCTTTTTTTTTGATGGTTAAATTGTCGGGTGTCCTCATGCTCAACCTCCAGCAAGGTTTGGATCCTCTCAAGGATGCTGCTCATTCTCTTCCGAGAGGGAGCTTCGGAGAATTTTTATGTTTTTGGATAGTTTCTGAGTGTCAATATGTTCCCACAGAGATGTTGATCTATATGGAAATGCTGTTTGACATTGACTTTTTAGTCAGTGTAACGATGTGATAGAGCTTTCAGTGTGCCGGATATTACTGTAGCAGAACGTGGAGAGGAAGTAAGGGAAGCAATTTCAGCTGCAGCTCCTGTCCACTGTTTGTTGTGTCTGTTGGCTCGCTCTGGCAGAGGTGAGCATTTACTGTGATTGGACAGTCCACTGAACTCTCCTACTACCTATTTCCTCCAGACAGGTGAGAGCTGAGAGCATGGACTTTTCTTGTCTCTCTTGTCTGTCTAGCAAAGTAGAAAGGTCACAAATTTTGATAAAAAAAAAGTTTATCCTCCCCCCACCAACGCGCCGAAAAAGGTTGACTGAATTTGAAGATAAATTTGCCAGCTGGAAATGAGTTGTTGGTCTGAGTTACACTGCGTGATTTGATGCCTCACTGAGCACCTGCGTCACTTCTTGTATAACAGATAATGGAACAAAATTGCACGGACGTTTTGATGAGACCTTTACCGTTACCAAAATCGCTTTTGCTGCACAGCGTGTCATGCTGAAATCCCAACAAGCAAGAGGTTTGCTTTAGTTTAGGTCTGTGTACAGTCTGCATTTCTGAAAATGCACACACACACACACACACACACACAGATAAGATTGTTGAATTTAAGACGCTGTGATGGAATCACGCCCAGCCTTAGATTGCGTTATCTACAGTGCAGAGCCATTTGCATAGAACACATCATAAACAGTCATTGCTCAGCATTGCATGAGGATTTCCGTCTTCTCTTTTATTGTGCTTTACACAGATTGAGCACCCCCATTATTGCACGTGAGCAGTTGCTCTCTATAGAGCAGTTTTTCTGCCACCATCTTCCATACTGTGAATCCCACTCAGTCACATAGTGCATCAACAACAACAATCAGCAGCGGGCTTCATACCACTCTCATAAAAATCTCCAGAAGGATTTTCAGTTCTGCTGGGAAAAAAAAATATATATATATAATAAGAAAGATTTTTTTCTACAGTGATGCTTCAGCACAGAATTGGAGAAAACAAATCACATTGTAGACTGTCGCCCTATCGCCCACATCATTGTGTTTTGTCAGTGGATCTGTTATAGATCTGTTCATTTGTGCAAAACTCCAACCCTGCCACTTCTTTCATATTAGAGCTTCAGCTGCTCAATTTGATTCTGGACCCATAAGAAAGTTTACTTATTGTTGAGCTTTAGTAGAGTGAAAAGCATCTTTTGTTGTCACTGCCATGGCCTATTTTTCATTTACCAAGAGTAAAGTTTGTGATCACTATCATGCCAGTGTCTGTCTATACAAGGATTTCTAGTTTATTGTCTGGATCCACGGCTCTGGTAGTAAAAGATCCTTTTAATTTTCTGCATAGAAAATGTCAGGTGACTCACCAGTTATCAGCTCGACAGGAAGCTCTCCTGTTTGAATCTATACTGAGCAGCTGTTGGAAAAAATATGTTGTTCTTTGATAAGAAGTCAAAGGCAGACAAATCTGTGTACATGAGACATTAAAGAGGGAAGTTAGGACTCCCGTGGAGCATTTCAGCAAGAAGAATCCAGTTTTTTATGCTGTATCCTCTGATAAAGACCTTGTAAAAAATCTGGATAAATCATTATATTCACCCCTTAGCCTACAAACGGAATAGACCTATTTCAGCAACATGTGAATGTCTTGTGGTGTCCTTGTGGCTGTCGAAGCTCTATAATATGGCCATACAGCTGACTAACTGGTTCCTGGTTTAATGAATGTGGGTAATGGGCAGTCTAGTAAATAGCCCTGATTACTCTTATCTGCGGGCTAATGATGTCTTGGGCTCTTTTCAATTAAGGTGGAAGCGAGGTCACAAAAAGGTTTGCTTCATAGCTCAGCCATTCAGCTTCATTAAAGCCTTAGCATGTATTCATTAACGCCCCTGCCACAGGTCCCCGAAGCACATGCTCTGCATCGCTCCTTTTATCCTCCATAAACTAATTAAGAACTTATTAATCCTCCGCTAACAGTTTGGGCTTTGGACCCTTTCTGCAGAGTCCCTCTTGATTGTGGTTCTGGCGCTGGTTTATCCATGTGCTCGCCAGAACAGTCAGAGCTGAGGTGGGAAACTTCCAGGGATGCTTTGTCTGTAAAGACACGCATTAAGCCATGGCTTTTTTTTTTTTTTTTTCACTGGCTGCTTTATTAGCTGAAATGCTTCAACTGCGTCACCAGAATATAAGATTAGAAAGATCTAATAAGAGGTGCACAATCACTGACTGGGGGAGGAAATGAAGTTCTGAACTGAACTCACTGTCATGTTCATGAAACCAGTTTGGCTTTGTGAGACCATGCTGGGAGTAAACATGAGAAGATGGTAAATTGTAAAGTAAAGCACACATTCAGCAACAGGGTGTTTCTGTCTGCAGAGCTGCTGCTCACTGCTCACTTTTAGTTTTTCACACTTCTCTGAGCAAAACTCTAGAGACTGAAAATCCCAGGAGATCAGCGCTTTCAGAAATACTCAAAACCAGTCTGGCACCAACAATCATGCCACAGCCAAAACCACTTTCTCCTTTCTAATGTATGGTGTGAATATTATCTGAAGCTCCTGAGCTGTAGCCTCTCTGCATGATTTTATTCACTGCACCTCTGCCACGTGATTGGCTGATTGGATAATTGCATGAATAAGCAGGTGTTCCTAATTAAAGAGCTTGGTGAGTGTATATGTGGTTGTGTCCTGTATGCTGTGGAGTGAATTTTAAGATTTAATGATTACTTTTAAATGTACAGTAATTCATTTTCTTTATATTGACACCAAAGTATTTATGTTAGGGAAAAGGTGTTTCTCAAAATGACCAACCCATGATACCCAGACATTGTTTTCAGCTACAGCAGGCAGCTGTTTCCAGTGAAAAAGTTCTGATAAACCGACTGTATGCTAGCTATCGACAAAATTAGCAGACAAATTAGCTAGAGAAGAAATATAACCACCTAGAAGCTAAAGACCTGGATGTTTTTCTCAGGGCTTTGTGGAAGCGGCTATAGCAGCTAAAGAGCTGAGTAGAGTCAATATTGGTCTAATATTGGAAATAGTTTGCTAACAGTTGTTTGCTAACACCTGGTAACTTAGGTGAGGGGCCTAGAGGTAGACTGCACGTGCTAACAAGCTAGCTAGATGTGCCTTTTCTCATGTGGTTGTTGTAAAACACCAAATTTAAAACTGCTAAATTAATTAATCATTATCATTAATATGATAACAACTAAAGAGGCTGGAGTTATTTAATTTTAGATAAAGAAAGATGCAGAACCTCACCAGTAAATGTTGCTGTCAAATAGCTGTAAATTAACGAGTGGCTGAGTACATCTATAGCTCTAAACTGGAAGTTTGGAGGACATCCAGTCATCCATTGCTGCTGACTGGGCTGCCTTGTTACCATAATAATGTGCGAAAACTGTGTGCTCATTTAATTTTTTTTTTTTTTTTGCTGAACCTAGCCACCTGCTGCACATCACTGTGTGTCAAATGCATATTCCCAGCACATTATTTGATTTGGGCATGAACATGGAGCTTAAAGCTGCTTTCCCCCTATTGTTCTCATGTTATGTCTTACGGTAATACTTTGTCATAGCCATGTTCATTCTTTGAAATACACTTTAACTGCAACAACTTAATTTGTTGTCAGACAAAAAAAACTAAAAAGCCTCAAGGTTGCTCATAACTCTCATAACTCTGACTCGTTTTCCCAACTCCAAAGCTTCTCCCTGCTCTGTTGTCAAGTGTGCAATTCACCAACGTGTCGTGGGCTCCATTTTTATCTGTCACATTCGTTTGCGGATGATGGCCGCCTATGCTCGGCTCATTAAGAATTCTCCCCCTCCTCCTCCTGCTGCTGCTGGCATGTCTCCTTGAGAGCCGAGAGGCTGCGACTCTGGCTCACGTTTGTCCTTGACTGACACCCCCCATCTTTTTCTTCTCATGAGTTTGCCATTTATACTTCCTGTGATTTCTTTTGCTTCTTATTCATGTCCCACACATTGTTCTTTTCAATTTTTCTGTCATTTTGACCTCATTTCTTCTCCACAAATTGTGCTCTGATTCCCTCTCACGATAGTCTTTTTACTGTTTCTGACCATGTCTTTTCTCTCCTCCTCTCTGTCTCTCTCTGTAGGAGCTGGTGGGCAGTAACCCTCCGCAGAGGAACTGGAAGGGAATAGCGATCGCCCTTCTTGTCATTCTGGTCATTTGCTCGCTGATCGTCACCTCCGTCATCCTGTTGACACCAGGTACACGGCGCAGGATCGGCGGGAGGGGGGGGAGGGGAGGGAGGGACCACAACATCATACACCACATATCGCTCTGTTTACACAGCTATTATTATGCACAGACATGCCCATTAGCTTTCATTATCAATCTCACCAAAAACAATGCAAAGAATAATGTGTATGAGTGTGTGTGTGTGTGTGTGTGTGTGTGTGTGTGTGTGTGTGTGTGTGTGTGTGTGTGTGTCTCCTTGTGTGTGGTCCATGCTCTCATGCAATATTTGCAGTGTCACCCACAGTAATGTCACAGTTAACTTCCACATGGGCACTCCTGCCGTAACGACCACATTTAGTGAAGGTCAGTAAACATCATTGAAGTCAGCTTGCGCAACATTGCTTTCTTCATAAATGCAGTCCCCATCTGTCTCCCTCACTTAGTCCCTCTCTTCCTTGTTCACACACATTTTGGACTTCTGCAGTTTCCTTCGTTATTCTAAGGCATCTGAGTTTTAATCTCAGAGTGACCTTCAGGCTTTCTGTTTGCAGATTTACATGAAAGTTTAATCAATAGGTCATCTGTTTAGAGGTCCTTGATGTGGTTTTATGCGCTGTCAGAACCAAACCAGTCAATGCGCCTGGCAATGTGTGTGCACTATAATTCAGTGACAAAGACAGTAATCACTGCGCCTTGTTTATGATTTCCTGTCACAGACAATTATATGTAATGTTAGCTAAGATGCCAGGGCGTGGTGGGGAAGACAGGTCAGCGATTATAACAGAAATTCAAGGTTGTGTTTTTTCTACATAATCCTGAGAGATTTAGACAGGTGTCAGAGCAAAAATACCACCGGCAAAGACCTTAGTGCAGTAGCAGGTGTCAAAGCAGCAAGGCCTAAAACGCCTTGTCACCTCCCGGCTGTGACCTGTTCCTGTTCCCGGGGTGTTTGTTATGGACTTGGATGAGCTTGAGCTGTTTAATGTGCCACTTCCAAACAAGGCGGGCCAGCGGGAGTCAGGCGGAAAGTGTAGACCGGGCAGGTGGTGTCTCCAGCTTGTACCTCGCGCTAATCTATCCCCTCCCTGCGTCAGCTCTGTGTGCTCAAGCAGAACTACTGTTCCGCACCGAGGCTCGACACAAGCCGGATCCTCGCTGCAACTCTGAGGTCTCCAGCAGACTGTCCGTTAAAGTGGAGTGTTTTTAGAGGATATTTGGTATTTTAGGGGCTTTTGGGATATTAAAATATGCTCTGACTGCACAAAATCCACTTCTGAAAGTTGCTGCGGATTAATTAGGTGTCTTGAGCAGCTGAGATGAGCTTCAGGATGCTGCAGCTCTATAAATCATTCCTCAAGGACAGTGGTTTGTTTGTGCAAAGACAGTTTATTTTACTCCGTCTTGGGGTTATCGTATTTGGGATGGACTGTTAATTGAATCCCTGGATTCAAGTCGAATATATTTTTTGTACTTAGAGTTAAGAGAAAAGTTCACCCTTAAATACTCCTGTGCCATTGTGTGTCTTGAATTTTAACTTGGACTTTAAGTTTTGAGTGATTATAATTTCTTTTCACAGAAATTAAGAACCTGAAATTTGTTAATAATTTGAATTTAACTTTCAGTGTTACAGATTTCCTTCAACTAAGACACATTTGTTTGTGTACTTTTGGTCTGTAGTTTTGGTCTGTAGACCCCTCAGCTCCAATGAAAGGAAGTCTTAAGAAAATTCATTTAATCTCTTTCTTAATGAGAGTTAGATGAGAAGATTGTTATCACTTTCATGTCTGTAAACTAAATATGAAGCTACCAGTTAGCTTAGCTTAGCATAAAGACTGGTAACAGGGGAAACAGCTAGCCCGGCCCTGTCTAAAAGTAACAGAATCCCCCAACCAGCGTCCCTAAAGGTCACAAATGAACACGTTATATGTTGTGTGTTTAATATGTAGAAAAACTGAAGTGGCTCTTAAAGCTGATTATTAATGCTCGTGGTCTGGGATCAGATTTTTGCAGCTCTGCACCCGACAAATCTGACACCCACTCCCATTTCATTTGAACTTCTCTTTCAAGATCAGTTTCTTTCCATTCCTCCCACAACTGCTTCACTTTTCATGCGTACAACGTGGTCAGACGGCACATTGTATGAACCCGTTGGTTTTAAGACATAATGGGTATTGAATTCCTCTGAGGAAAATGTACACGGTCGGAGCAATATTCACTTCGACAATGCTGTGGTTTGTCATAGCCTAGGTATTAAGATGACACGAAACCACAGAAAATGGCATTGTATTTCACAGGCTACTGATGATCATCTCCTGAGATGCAGGCTGTGGCTTTCTGTTCTGTATTGCCCTAATGTCGTCTATTCCGGCTCCTGTCTGTGGAGAAATTGCTATCTCTGCCTCTTAAGAAGAATTCCTCCTTGTATGATTGTGGACAAAATAGTGAGTGTGTCGAGAAGGCCTTGATTCTCCGGTACTGATATCACAACTACATTCTTACCACTGATTTATTTATTTTTTGTTGCTGAAAAATGCTGTATTATCAAAACCTCTGCTGTAGCTGCTGTAAATCAGGCCAAAACATCTTATCAGGGTAGTTTTGTTACTATGATTTTTAAATGTATTTGTTTTAAGAATATTTTAGATCTTGAAACAGTTGATTTAAAAAATAAGACTTTAAGGGCTTAGTTACATACGAACATGAATGTTTTTGCAGTGCAAATGAACCCAGGAGTGCAAGGTACATCAATAATGTTGTGTAACAGAGTTGAGGTGCTTTACGGAGGATTTTCCCATTAAAATGCTAACTACAGCAGCCACTCAGAATAACTTATTTTACTGAAATTATACTTCAAGGGCAAACATTTTGGGAACAAAGCCCCCACCACCACTCTGAGCTGCAAGCTGTAGCAACACAGCTCATGTGAAGAGTTATGAGATAGCGTGTTGTTTCCACTCAGTTAGGAGGGTTGGTTGATGGATGTTCCCCTGCCAGACAGGCCAGCCACTTTCTAACTGCTCCCGACAAACACTTTGCTCTCACACATGTGCACACACTTTCTCACACACACACACACACACACACACACACACACACACACACACACACACACATGCACAGAGTCTCCTTTTCCCTCACTGACAAACCTGCATCTGCTGTAACTGATAGCTCCATATTATTAAGAGGTTGCTCTGTTCTCTACATCAATACAACTGGGTCAGATGTTCACTATTGGCAACTGTGCATTCGTCACACTGAGGGATGTCAGGCTGACTGACAGAGTGACAGCTAACTGAGACTGTGGGAGGATCGCGTGCCACATTAATTTGGCGCAGCTAAATGCAAACACTCAGAGAGTATCGCATTAAAGCAGCACTCAAGTTACTGGGTTACGTCGCCCTTATGGGGCAACCAAAAAACTGCGACTTTATGGGCGTTCAACACTGAAAGAGCATTTTTACATAATTACCACCAGTTTAGATTCGTATTGTAATTATGATCACACTTGGGATATTAAAGATATAAAGATTTCCCATCGTCTGCATGTAGCTTCGACTCTGGCATCCCACCCACTTTTATTTCTGCACTGACAGACTGGGGCTTAGACTAGGTTTTAAAAATATTCAGGTCAATAGCCCCCCAATGCACCGTTCACCACTCTGTTTATTGTTCAGTTATAATTTTTTTTTCATAAATACTGCCTCCCACCATGAAGGTGTAACTGCTGTTTGGTTCAAGGTCTTCTTCTTACTGTCAGCAATAAAAGTCTGGGGGAGAAATGAAGCCTTTATGTGTTTATTACTTTATTGCCCTTTTATGTAGTAAAAATTAAACATGTTGAGTCTAAAAATGCTGGAATCAGCTCATAAAATACCCAGCGTGTTTTTAATTTTAAGCTCCCTGTAGGTCGCTACGACCCCAAAATTCAGTGAAGGTAACCGTTGCCTTAACAGCTGAAGGCGAACTCACTCACTGGCCTCTGCTGGATTTGATGTATAGCTGCTTTAAAGGTCTCATATTTTACATTTTTCAGATGTTTTATTTGAAGTTTTGATATCCATAAGAAGATGTATTTGTGGTTTAAAGTAATTTTACATCTCCTCTCTCAGGCTTTTCTCTGGAGCTCTAGCAACAGCAGGTTACTGAGCCAATGAGGAGAGAGGCGCAGAGTCTCTCCCCTGATTGGCTGACTTTTTTCTGAGTGATCCAAATTTCAGGTAAACATTGAGAGAAACCAAATCCTGGGAGGTTGGATGGTATGTCCAGGTGGCCGGGGCTTGGGGCATGGCTGAGAGCGGGGACCGCTTTGTTGTGACATCACAATGTTACAGAAGTCTTGACGGCTAATTTTAAGGTTCAGTTTCTGAATACAGGCTGTGTGCATTTCTCTGTGGACTGAGTGATTTGATACTTTCACAGCATTAATATAGAACCTAACCTGCTTTATAATAAAAAAAGGCATGAAAATCTCATTTTATACAGTATGGGGCATTTAAGGACTCATCCAGGTTTCTGAAATAGGGATATCATGTTTACATTATGCTCGCACAATTACCTACACACTGATCAAAGTGTGGATACTAGTATGTATGTAAATGCATTCTTTGACACATCAAGTTCAAAGATATTTTGTTTTTTTTTAGGTTATATATAATACCTGCAAACCCAGACTATGAATAGACAGATTACCTTTTCTTCTGTTGTCAAGACTGCAGACTTGCTGTAGTTGAGTCAGTCACATAGAGACCCTCAGATTATCTTTCAAATTGCCAGGTTCAGTCTTGGATTGAAAGTCCCTCTGCCATTGCATTGTATGGAAAAGAGGTCGTGCCACATTAGCATATAAACTGCTCGTGCGAGTTGACCCTGCTTGGGGCTGACTGTTCCCTTTTTCTTTTTTTTTTCAAACTAATTCAAAGTTCCTGCCTGTGATCACAGCACTCTGTGAGGGGGAGATAAAGACATACTTAACTGCAAAAAATGGATTTGCCTTCAAGAGATTGCGTTATATGTCTATATATGTATAATA